CTTGACTCTTTCCAGTCTCTGTTTTCAGTAGGCTTCCCTGTATCTATTCAAATTTTAGCTGGTTTTCAAGTTTTAACTCATCCTAGTTACTTCCATGGTAATTTTATGATTATCCTAGAACACAAAAACTTTCTCATGTCTCAGTTTTCTAGAATGACATTTTCAATTATAGTATCACAATATCATAGTTGTCTCAAGCAATATGAAAAATGTTATGAATGTCCCATCATTAAGATCATGTACAGAGATTTGCAAATGTCTCACTTGATTGGGAAAATAAATAAGATATAAGGCTTAAGCATCTGACATCTGTAGCCAGATTCACTCCATTCAAGTCCCAGCTCTACCCTTTAAGTGCTAAGTAACCTTGAGGAAGTTATGTATCCTTTCTGGGCCTTAATGTGCTCATCTGTAAAATGGAGATGATAATAATACCCATCTCAGTTTATCATTATGTTGTAGACTGATCTATTTTAACTACCCTGGCAGTAACCCCGAGTGTGGCTTGGGGTTAATTTTCACTGCCAGAAGCGGTAACCCCTATTTTTTATAATTATTTATTATATTATAATTTATGATTTTGTGTTTCAAACTTTATCATACCTGGGATGCCTACTAGACTCTTGTTTGGACATATTTAAGTGAGTAATTCCTAAGAATTACAGACCTACAATATAAAACAACAAATTTCCATGCAAAACAATGTACCACTTTGGGTACAAAATTACTGACATAATCAGACCGCCAGGGAGGTTAAGCTCCCATAATCATAACTTCTTTTTAATCTCAGTTTGGATTTCTAATAAGGTAGACATGGTATACCATGACCAAGATATACCCCGAGTACTTAGAAGTTTGGCTTCAAATAAACAACTTCTAAACTTGTACGCTGTATAAAATCAATAACCATGGTAACTGTCTCTGGTGATCTGAAGGCCCTGAACATTGTTTGGGTTTCTAGGGCTTGATATGAACTGCAAACATTGATTTACCTTCAATTACTGTTCTGGAGAACAGGATACAACTTAGAAGGGAAAATTCCTGACCAAAACAAGTGACAGACATGATATAATGGCAGCTGTGGTCTCATATTTTCTCCTCATACGGGAAACCCGCCATGGATTGGATAGGACTTGCCCACATATTCATCACTTCCTTCTTAAAGAGGTGGTTTTGGACAAGGTGCATTTCAAATGTAACCTAATTTGCATACCTAAGTTCTTTATATGTCATCATCAGATAAGAAGAAAAGACAATTGAAATGAAATGATATGTCTGCTTTCGACAGCAACCTGCTATGTCTAAAGACTCAGAGTTCCCATTTTGTCATTCCTCAGAGACTCCATCACACCCTTCCCCTCACTCAGACCCCTCTGTTATTCACAAATGCTGGACAGAAAGAAGTTAATTCTATGTGCTCTAAGACAGCTCTGTTGGTTCACATTTACTAGAAATAACCAATAATGAACAAGCAACACTAACCCTGAAGAACTTCAAAGAACAAAAGACTCAGAGAACACTCAAGAAATTATCACTTTTAAAAAAATCTGAAGACCTTGCATTTACTGTTCTGATTGTAAATGATTCCTTCAAGAAAATATGCCTAAACACACCCAAAACATTGCCATTTCCAGAAGAGCAGGATCTTGAACTTGCTCGTTTTGTTTTCAAGTGAAGGTACCCTGTGTGTTACCTTCTTCATTTTTGGCAGCTGTCAGATCTGATGCCCCATGTGTGAGGCACATTCTTGTTGAAGGCATGAAGCGCAGCTTGATTCACTCAGTTTACTGAGTGGCTGAAATCAATGGTCCTTACACAACACGGGGAGGGTAGTTAGGAGAAGGACACATTCTTGAATTGAACAGGCATACAAGGTGTGCTTGCCAAACCTCAGAGTCACATAAGTGCCTCTGCTTTGTCCTGCTGGGTTTCCAGAAGGGAACAAAGGGTTTATATCATTGTTGCAGCCCACAGTGTAACCACTGAGCAATTTCACCAAAGGAGAATGGGAAGATGATAAAAGAAAAAAAGGAAAAAAAGAAGAATGGTAGTTTTTTTTTCAATGACACTTGACATTCAATATTATTTTATATTAGTTTCAGGTGTACAGAATAGTGGTTAGACATTTATGTAATTTACAAGGTGTTCCTCCCAATAAGTCTAGCACCCATCTGGCACCACACATACAGAGGGTGCCACAAAAATGTATACACATTTTAAGAAAGGAAATCTGCATTAAATATAATACTCAATATATACCAAAAACAAAAAATTAATCCAAGTCATGTTTGAGTTCTGCAATTACAAGAGGTGCTTAAAGTGGTTACCATCAGTGTCCAGACACTTCTGATTATGGCAAACTCCTGCTTGAGTAATGCTGACCAAAGTGTCTACTTGTATACATTTTTTTGGCACTCCCGGTAGTTATTACCATATTATTGACTATATTCCCTATGAACTTTATTTCCCCATGCCTATTTTGTAACTACCAATTTGTGCTTCCTAATCCCTTCACATTTTTCACTCAGTCCAACACCACTCCCATCTTGCAACCATCACAGTTGTTCTCTGTATCTATGAGTCTGTTTCTGTTTTGTTTGTTTGTTACATTGTTCTTTAGATTCCACACATAAGTGAGATCACATGGTATTTGTCTTCCTCTGTCTGACTTACTTCACTTAGTATAATACCCTCTAGGTCCATCCATTTTCAATTTACTAAATTTTCTATTCAATTGTGTCTAATCTGCTGTGAAACCCAAGAATAAATTCTTAGTTTCAATTATTTAAAAAAATAGTATTTTGAAGGCTTGGTATGTAGAGTTTTCAGTTCATCAACTTTGACAGTTGCTTTAAAAATCAGCATGTCACTTCCATCAAATTTTTTTCTAAAGCTGAAAATCTTCTATGTTTAGCTTAATGAATGGCAAAAAAATTAAAGTATCACAGTATTCATAGGGATGAGCTCTTCAAATATTGTTAAATTACTTTAGAAAAAAAGTGAATAGACTAAGTTGTAAAAGTCATAGAAATGATGGCCTGAGATATGGCCAAAAATTAGGTAGCTTTGACTTAAATTTTCTTCAGGGTTGTCTTATCTCACTATTAAATTGTAGGCCATTCTGGTCACCTCTGAGCTTCTTCCAAGAGCATTAACATTACAATATGGATCATCTTATACATGTCCTACACGATTTTTTGTACAAGCGCACATTATTCTTGGCTACTTATGGGTAATATTTCTTGAACCAGACTCAGCACTTATGGATTTGTATTTATTGAGAAACTTTCATAAAAACATGTAATTTTAGCATTAAACAGGACAAGAAATTAGATTAGTTTTCCTTCATTGGATCTGTGAAGAAATGGAGCTCTGGAGTAATGAAATCATATACATGTTCAAGTACAAGAGCTAGGTAAAATTTAAATCAATCAATCTCTCTCAGTGTTGTTTCCACTGTTCCAAATTTGTAATAGAACATTTTAAATAAGATATTTTACTATAAAGCCAGAGAATGTTTTCTGTTTCCCTGGCAACTAACAGCAAAAACGACATCATCCCATGATGGCCACTGGGATATTTCTTCTCCAATGTGAGCGGACTTCCCTATGGGCATTCTTGGTGAATGCTACATTCCAAAGCATAGAAAAGGCCATGGACTGACTGGGAGGTAGGTGTTCACGGACGAGAGCGCTGACATTGCTCATCCTATATTAGAGTCTGATTCCAGCCAAACTGGCATCAACTATTTCCTTTCTGCATCCCTGAGTGCCATCCCATCAATAGCAGAACCTTAAGAAAAACAGGTGATATCTGCCTCTGAGGGACTGTCTCACCTTGGTCCTCAGGACCACTCCAGCCTTGGCATGGCTCTTACATTTTTCTAGAAGGTTCTTCTTCCATTCCTCTATCATTTACATCAATTACAAATTTTCCATGAAATATCCTACAGCTGATGCCAGCACCCTCAGATTATGCCTTTCTTAATTGTCCGTAGATTTCATTTCACATAATCTGGCATACAATTTTCTAAATGACAAACCTTCTCTACGTTGCCATGTATTTTTGTTTGCTGACTCTAATATGACTATAAAACTAGAAATCGGGGCTCATGTTATTCATTTATTTTTAACTCCTCACCCCTTTTTCTCTGTGTGTTCCAGCTGCCTGACTCCCTGCTTCCTCTCTTACACTTCTCGCTGTCATCACTCCCCATCTACGTGAAAATACTTGCAAATTCAGTTTCCTTTTCCCCTTTTCTCCCTACCATATTCCTACCACAAGATCAGCTCAAGCCTTCTATTTTAAGCCTCGCAAACTTACATGTGGTCTTCGGTGCTTGTCACCAACAGACTGGTTCTGCTGTCTCAGACCCCATGATAAGATGACACTTTATCCCCTGTTGAATTTAGGCATGCCTATGTGACTTTATTTGGCCAATGAGATGCAGGTAGAGTAATGTTTGCCACTTCCAAGTAGAAGCTTCTAAAAAGTAGCACATGTTTCCCTGTGCTTCCTCCTCCCTGCCATGACAACCTTCCAGATGACAGGGCCTCTGTCAGCATCCTAGAATGAGGACAATGTGGAAGAGGGCCCCTGCTAGTGTGTGATGGGTGTGTAACATAGGCATGCACAACCACTTATTACTTAGGCCACTGAGTTGTTAGGTTGTTTATCACAGCACAGTGACTTAACCCATCAAGATGGCACAGTTGACTTAATAACTCCCCTCTGTGCATCTGTATACCTTGTCTTGTCTCTACCTCAACGTATCCCATTTCCTGTCTTTCTGGTAGACCATAAACTCCATGAGAATATGGCTTACATCCATGCATCCCCCATGCCCACTACAGTGGTTGGCATATAGTATCATCTCAAAGAACACATATTGCATGAATGACTAAAAAGCGCCCACCCCATGCTGACTACATCCTGAAGGGAACACTGGTATTCCTGGGGTTTTGCCCATTTCACTGCGGGTAAACCATGAATCTACTCACAGTGATGACAGGTGGTGCCAGTGTAACCTGTGTCACTGCAGTTGCAATAGAAGGTAGTCCACGACTGGGAGCAGCTTCCTCCATGTTCACAGTAGTTTGGTAAACACCTGTGGGGATAAGGTAAAGCAACCAAAATGAACCAAACTAGTAGAAATAACAGGACAAACAAAGATGTCTTATATCTGTCTGCATGAATTGATAATGGAAATTGTTCTGTTATACTCCTTTACCTCAGACACACCTATATACTACAGTTTTACCACAAGGATGGGTCCACCTAGCACACTGGGCAATGAAAAGCTCAGAGCTGATTTAGGAATTAAGTTAAGCCATTCAACACTGGGGCAAAATCTCATTAACTTAAAGTTAATATGAAGTGCTCAGAATCTGTAAGGTTTTTCATTTTCCATAGGAAAAAAATGTACAAAGATTGTGATTTTACATTTTGGAAAGGTTTTGCATTTTCAAAGGAAAGGGGAAAGGTGCAGATAATTGAGGTCAGTGTCCTCATGCTTCTCTTTTGGGAGATGGCCAGGAATCTATTTTAAACTACTATTTTTAAAAGGTGACATGAAATTTGAAAAAATGGTAACCGCTCATTTAAATGCAAAATAATTCTATCATTTTTAAAAGTGCCAATGCCACCCTTAAAATGAGGCCTTCACTACTTATACTAAAAACAGTATAACTATTCTGAAAAATATTTTCACCACACACGTTAAACACTCTTTGAAACAGTCATATAATTTGATCAAGCAATCACACTTAGATGGCGCTACCTTAAGGCTATATTTTAAAATTTGGAAAGTATACAAGGTAATTATCATTATTCACAATGATATCATGATGAATCAATATAAGTATCCAAGATTAGAAAATTTCTTAGGAAAGTTATGATACATAAAATTAATGTGCTAGCATGAAGCTACTACATATGATATTAGTAAATAGGATTATAATGAACTGGGATTGGATTAAGTGGAAATTCAAGATGTAAAGCATGACCACCACAAAATAATACAAACATTTTCTATTGCAAAACTAATAGGAAAAAAAAACAAAGAAATGTTAAGTATCCCTTGGTCTAATGAACATGAAGCCATGTTCATTTTTTTCTGAACAGAGATTGTGGACTTTAGGGTCACATACACCTGAGCTAAAATCCCAGCTCATCCATTTTCTACATGGTCCCTTTGGGTAATTCTCTTCACATCTTCCATTCATGATTTAAAATCTTGACACTGCAGGCCCTATTGCTACTAAGAGATAAGCTGGCAAATGCTCAATATTTGTAATGAATACAATTAAGAGTAAAAGCAATGATAAATACTGAAATTCTTGAAAACAGTATTTACAGGGGAAAAAAATCTCATGAATTTCAAAGGGGAATGTGTGTAAGCAATGGAGTTAGAGAAGTGGTATACCGCTGTAAAAGCATTCATTGTGGACCCGCTGAGAATGTGAGGCAAGCAAAAATAAGACAATTTACCTTAAATGTCCCCTATAGGTAGGAAACCCTCCAGCAATGATTGTTTCAAAGCCCAGAAACTAATATTGCTGCATATGTTCAGACATATTATTAGAAATTTTCTGCTCAGCACAGCAAATATTCAATGTGCTGATGGGGCTTCTGTTTGGGAAGAGCTTATTGGTAACTCCTTGGTATCCAACTATGGCTTAAAAAAACAAGGAAACTAGTAGGATCCAGTAATTCTGCTACAGAACCTATTTGCAAAAATCAACAAATTAATAAACAAAAATGTGGTCCCTTCCCTACTCCAAATTCTACCCTTTTTCATTTTTACTCCCAGCCATTCATTTTGGTGGAAAGGAAAAGAAACAGGCTTATCACTCAATGAACCACAGTCGCTGCCCCCCACTAATCTTGTGCTGTGGGAAGTTACATAAACTTGAAACATCAGTGTCCTCAAAGCCCAAGCAAGGACCTCTGCCTCTGGGTGTACCCTGACAAAGGGACTTTGAGCTAGCCTGTGGCTGCCCACCTGCCTCACACCTTGTTTTCCTTCGCAACAGACATCTATCTTCCTGCTTCTGAATATTTCTTCCCTTGCACTTTACTTTTCTCCATATTTCCCCTCTGAAAGTAAGTTCTTACATGACCTCTCTATACCCTGTCCCATTCCACTCTACGCCCCTCCCCCAACCCAAACACACACACACACACACACACACACACACACACACACACACACACACACCATGAAATAATGGTATTATTTTTCCTCCCTCTCCCCGCAAAGAAAGGTTAATTGCTTTGAAGATGGAAAGCTGAGCAAAAGCGAGTCAGTAGGTAATGATCTTGCAGTTCTTTTGGTTTGAGCACCAAGAAAATTCAGATCAGCCTCATTTTGGTGGCTGGAGCTATAAAATAGAAAATGCAGAAATTCTCAGTGGCAGTGTTTTCAGCCATGAGCAGAAAGCTTGTCTGCAGTGAGAGACAGAAAAAAAAAATAAGGCTGAGATGCAGCATTAAACAGAAAAGAGAGATAGAGAAGGTCCTGACAATATTTGTGTGGCTGGTTCCTGTTGTCCCTAAGACTTGCTTGCACCCCTGAGCTTCCTGAGGGCTGGCTGTTTTAATCTATATTAGATTCTGTGAGATACTTCAAGGTCTTTTCAGGAAAACTCTTATTGCATTCAGGCTAGCTCTAGTTGAAATTCTGCTACTTTCAACTCACAGAATTTTGATATTTTATAAATCAGCATTCTATAAATACAAAAAGAAATGAAAACACATTTTCCTTAGAATCTATACTTTAAAATATTTTAAAGCTCATGATTGCCAAATTCAGTTGGGCATGTAGGGGGAGGGATCTTGGGGAAACAGAATAAATATCTGGTCACTTGGAACACATATTTAATAAGCCTCACACAGAATTGCGGTGTTAATAAACTCAATTTCCCAATGAAAATGTAGGCTAGAAATTCATTCATTTATGGCCACTCAAAAAAACCAATGATGTATTCTGGTAGGGAAAATTAATACTTGGGTAAGGGAAAATCTAATATTCCCAAAATGAAAAAAAATGAATGAATACTTATAAGGCTGCCTTAGAGCTTGTTTCATTTTGGTCCAATACACACTGTGAATAGAAAACCTCATCTGTAAAGTAGACGCTCACAATAAAAGATGTATAACCCCAATTTGCTTATTTTAAAAGGACACGTTTATGAGTATAATTTCCATATTCTTTAAACAGTTGATTTTCACTAGTGTTTTGTTTCTTTTTCTCTCTACTTGGCATAAACTGAGCACTTAAGACATGAACCCAGAAAGCAGAGCGTAGAGCTACTGAAGTGAAAAGGGAGCATTACATGTGAGGACAGTCACAATCTTAGGTGCAGAGAGCTTAATTCAAATTGCTAGGAAACAATCACTCTGAGTACCTATCTCGTAAAATCCTAAGATAGTTCATAAATTATGTAACTGGATGTGAAGGGATACACCATATTTTGGTATACAATGTTTAATAAAGAAGGCTTTCAATATGACCACAGCTGTATTCTTCACATTCTCCAGAAACACAAACAAGCTAGTAAGGTAAGTGTGTTAGGGGAGACTTAAAGGGCAGGACAGACACATTGGAAGCTGTGCATCTCTAAAAGCAGACTGTACATAGTTTGAAGGGAGATGAAAGAAGAGTTGAAGCAAAGACAGAGAAAAGTTAGGACTGGAAGAAAAAAATCTGTATAACAGGGGCAAACGTTATACACAATTTTTATGTAGGAATTATGATTTCCCCCCAAATCAAAATTCTTCCAAAAGAGAAGGACCATTGCTAATTGGGGCTGCAAGCAATCCAGGTAAGACATGAAGTGGGAGGAAGAGTCATCCACAATGGCCCATGGACCTCATCAGTGCTCATGGTCCAGCCTGCAGAGGTATGTGGTTCTGGCTTCACTCTTGTGTTCTGTGGTGTGCTGGGTTATTCTACAAGGAGATATGAAGGAACAAAATGTTTCTCTTTAAAGGCTAATGCACAGCAGGGGAGACAGCAAAGAATCTGCTTCAAAGGACAATGATTGTACAAGACATTGGGAGACTGAGTCACTCGGAAGAGTAAAGGCAGAACTTTCTAGGGATTTAAACCACAGTCCAGTTTCAAGTATCCTGGCAATCATAGTTTCTCTCCACTGACATTAAGAAGAACAAAAAGACTCTTGCAGTTTCCCTTGAGAAAGAGTGGTAATTTCCCTAAGTTAGCTTTAACTGAGGCCAAGCACAAGTTTACAGCTGGAGTGGGTAAGGCCTGGGAAAAGCATTCGGAAAGTAGTGGGATTCAAGATACTTCTAGAAAATGTAGTCTGTCAGTTTGTTTATAATTTAAAGAGTTTCCCAGAAGAAATATGAATTTTTGGCTTTTTGTTTAACAAAAATCAGATTACTGAGCAATAGTCATAGCAAATGTCATGACTATATGCCAAGTTTATATTTTGAGTTCGGTCTTCTCTCCTGAATTTTAGACTCATAAATGTAGCTGCTTGCTTTACAGCTCCACTTGGGTGTCTAACTGATATTTCAAGTTTTGCATGTCCAAGCCTGATTTCTCTGACCTCCTACTTCACTCCCGACCCCTACCTTCTTTACCCATATCCTTCACTATCAGATGATAGCAACTCCATACTTACTACTGTCTAGACCCCGAAATTTGAAGGTCCTTCCCTTCCCTCACAGCTCACATTCACATTTGAGATGTTACTTCAAAAGTGTTATTTTCCTTATCTTATAGATGAAGAATGTAAGACGAGGGTAAATAACTAGTGTAAGGTGACAGAGCCAGGACTGTGAGCCATGCTACCTGTCACTGAAGGTTGTGTTCTCAAGCACTGTGCAGCCCTCCCTGTGGGGCGTCACTTCTACAAAGAACAGGAGGGAGGAGGGGCTCACACTGTTACCCACGGATTCCAGAAATTTCTTAGAAAACTTGGAGCTGTCAGTTTAAAGTTCTTAAAGATATTTTTGGTTGGAAAAGAGGTCTTAACAACAATGACAAATGGGTTAATTTGGAATAAATAAACCCACAATGAAGAGTAATGTATATGTTTACTATATAAGTAGCATAATAGTATATAATTCATTCTATAA